CATTTGTGTTTGAGTGTCTGGTGAATGCAGCCTTACTTAAAATTTTATGATTCCATGAACTACTTGAAGGAGCCTCGTGGGTAGATGAGTGAAAGGCACTGTGCTGGCCCATTGAAGCTATCATGTATTGAGGAAGTAATTCAAATGTAGTCTGTGTAGGTTAGTGTCAGTGTTGTATACATGTACATACATATTGTGGTAGTTAAGTTTGTGTGTCAACTGGGCTGGGCCTGGTTGAGTGGCTGGGCAGCTGAATGTAGTTATTTCCCATGGTGAGATTGGTAATTAACTCCATGGTGGAATCTATTGGAACAGCAGAGTAGCTGCTTTGGGTATGGGTCTGCTTCCCATATATAAGAAACGGCTTTGGGAATGGTCTTTAGCTTATGGCACTCTTGAACCCTGTATGTAGCTGTGTTGTTGTTCAGCAGCCTGCCATGCTCTGCCAACCTTGGGGCTTTTAATGGACTTGAATTTACGGCCTGCCATATGGTTTGGTAATATTGGGACTGTGCCTTATTGCTTGTCAACCTTGGGGTTGTCAGCCTCAGCAGCTGAGTGAAGAAAAGCTTCCAGCTTCAGTGGGCTGGGAGCAGGAGGCAGAGCTGAAGCCCAAGGTTGAGGGGCTTTCAACCCAGCCCCTAGAGCCTAGCACTTTGAACTTGGACTTAAAGTCTCCAAACTGTAAGAAAATAAATTCCTGTTTCTTCAAGCTATCCCATTTGTGGTATATTCCTGTCAGAGTGGCACTAGGTAACCAAAACACATACGTACATACATATATATGTGTGTGTGTGTGTGTGTGTGTACATACGTATATGAAAAAGCTTTGGTGTCACTATGAAATAGAATGGAAATCTTCCTCATAACCTCACCCTGTGTTTTTAGAAGGATAAATTAGGACAAAATAACCTTTTTTTTTTTCTTTAAAAAAAAAGACAGGTAAAACTGAGTGAAAGTACAATTGTATATGGTAATAGTGACTAATAGAGCTAGTTAAAATGTTAATAAACCATGAAAGTGTCTTTAGCTCCAGATGTTCCATTCACTTTCATGTTCTAGTGAGACCATATGATTTCTTAAGAACCAAGTGTTTTTAAGTCAGAAATAGTACCTTGTTATAGAAATGCAAGCAAGGTTAGGTGAAGTTTGTTTTCCTGTAAAGTCTGCCCGCAGATCATATATGATGATAAAGTGATACCTTTCCCCAGGGTAGTGTTTCAGCAGATCAAAATCTTATGCATCACAGGAATCTCTGAAGGCGAAATGTCAGGCATTAGCTGGTTGTTTGAAAGAACTATTTTGAAGTTTGTATGGGCGTGTCTCACAAACTTTGTCAAATGTTACTTAGAAGTCATCACATAGGAAGTTACATATTCTCAGTATTGCATCCCCCTCCTCTTACTGTTGTTGTTGCTAGGTACTGTCATATCAGTTTTGACTCAGAGATTCTGTGTGCAACAGAACGAAACACAGCCTGATCCCATGCCATCTCACAATCCTTGCAATGTTTGAGCCCATTGTTGCAGCCACTGTGTCAGTCATTTTCTCTTCCCCCACTTATACTTTTTTCTTTCTTTTTTTTTAATCTCCGACCACCTCAATAGTGTATCAAAACATACAACTCTGATTGGCATCTTGTGAATTATAAATATGAAGATTACTCAGGAGAGTTTCGGCAGCTTCCAAAGTAAGTAAATATCAGACCACTCAACATGGGGCATATACACAGAGAGAAAATTATTTGTACTAAAATGCATAAAGAGATATTTAACTTGATGTACAATCAGTGTAATTGGAGAATATATTTCTAGGTGATTTGTGTATGTATGGTATAGTTTATAATATAGTCAGAGTACAGGACTCAAACTCTGTACACTGGTATTGGTGGTGATAAACACATGGATGGTTTAATTATGCCCACTGATAAAATATAGATAGATGAAATTTCTTCAGTGAGAAATAGAAAGCAAAGGAAATGGAATCATATTGAAACATGCTACAATATATTTTATCTAAAAAGAATATTTTGAAGAGACTTAAAATATTTTTATATTGAGTAAATTTTATATTTTTAAAAAAAAAAAAAAAAGGCAAATCAAGGAGCAAGCATTTTCCCAGGCAAATTTCTTTGCCCTCTT